GTCTGAGTCTCCCGTTGGTTTGATTCATTGCAGATTTTCCCCTTATTGGATGAGTAGCTTGACCATTTGATTTTATTGTTGGTTTCTTTCCAGATGCCAGAAGTACTGAGTATTTAAATATATATCTGAAGTTCAGCAGGAAATTGAAAATTGATTCTCTACAGCAGTTATCTGAGATATGGTTCAAGTTCTCGCTTCAAGTTAGCCAAAGCAAAGAACTAAAGCACTCTCTGGGGAATGCCAGCTTGACACATATTCCAGAGTGATTTCTGTGGCATCTTTGAAGAGAAATTCAGAAATTATGCTTTTGTTTAAAGAAATCTTCTGTCTCCTCTTGGTTCTACTAAATAAGCACAAAGGGTAAGAAGAGAAGAGAAAGGATTTTTAATTCCTTGGTACTACACAGGCACCCTTCAGCAGGGACGTGTGATGAGGTGTCAGACAGGTGATGCTCAGGGTCAGGCTCTCTCTCTCTTGCTGTGCTGGATGGCCACAGGCTGCAGGCAGAGCTCAGACAGCTCTGCTGGATCCCATGGATGGAGCTGTGAAGGAGGAGGTGGCTTCTCCCCAGATATTTCCATGAGAGTCAGAGTGTTGGGCAGGGCCAGGACGAGCAAGCAGGGCTGGAGCAGGGATATCCACAGGGACAGATGTGAGTGTGTGGGTGGCTGTTCCTACCAGCACAGTCCACTGCTGGCTGGTGTTGGAAACTCATATCTCAACCTCTGCCATGACACTGGAATTATCCTCCTTTAGTTTCCCAAGCACTTCCCAAGGCTGCCTCGTACTGCTGAGGCAGAGGGGGCTCCAGTACAGCCAAGAGCTTACTGTAAAAGCAAGTGGCAGGACATAAAGTCCTATTTTTACCAATGTTTCTATGAATTTGATATCCTAACAGAGATGTACTGACTCAGAGTGATGCCCTTTGGCATTCTGAGCTATATAAAAATGAATGGTTTCCAACATTTGGAAGCAGTTTATTGATGTTTTTCTCTGCAAAATTAATTAAACTATTATTGGGTAAAATATTTACAAGACTATAAGAACGACTTAGATACTTCCCTGCATAAGTTTAATGTGTCTCCAGCAGCACTTGCAGTGGTCACTTATCAAATGTCTCTTGGTCTCCAGAACTTGGGATATGTGAGACCTCAAAGCCTTTTATGATCTGGCAGGAGAGTGAGTGCAGCAATGATTCACTATTACAGGCCAGTGTTCAATACAGATTGATTTGGTTCTGTCTTTTTGTTTAAAATGCATCTCCACACAAATGAGTGGTGTGTTCAAACCTCCTAAGTAATCATTTTACCAAAATTTTGTAATAAATAAATTATCCTCAAAAATCTACTGGATATACAAATAAATCTGCAGATTCTCTGTTCAGCAGCAGCAATAAATCCTTCCTCTATCACATACAGTGTTTACATTTGCCTAGGGGCTCTAAAACATTATGAGATGAAATGATTTTCCTGTTCCTTGGTGTCTGACTGCCATAGAATTTAAGTGTTTCATGAATTTAATTGTGAAGAGAGCAGTTTAACATCTTTCAGTCCCCTGTGGGAAAATGGAAGGAGGAGCCAACTGGATATTGCCTGGAAAATGATTCATATTTAAAATTTAACAATGATTACTGTTATCAGGGGAGGATCAGAAGGGCAGCAAATGACCCCATGTCCATTAAAGATCTGTGCAAACTAGCAAAAGAAGGATTTGGTATCATAAGTAGGGCCCAGCCTTCTGCTTGTGGTACAGTTGCATTCCAGGTTGCATTAATATCTTTATTTATACAACATTACGCCAATTTTCAGCATTTTCCTGAAAATCTATTAGTTGTTTTCAAGCTCTCTGAAAGGTATTCTATTTCATTGCAGGAGAATTCATCTGCCATGCTCTGGAGATGGTGTTTATATCTCTAGCAACTAAAAGCTTACAAAAAGGCAGCTGCAATCTTCTTCTGGAGCAGAGGTAGATGAAACAAAAACTGCTACTGTTGCTTAGATGTAAAAAAATTCTGTTTTCAATGGCAAAGATTGTCCTGACTTGCCTTGATTACTGAAATCAAGGAAAGCATAACTTCAGTCTATCAAACCATTTTTGTACTATTTAGGGAATGAAAGAGAGGATTGCTGTACAAGCTGGGGAAGAAAGCAAAACCACCAGTTGTATCTCCTTTAAACACACAGCCCTTCATAGTTTCATTTCCCCATCCTTATTTTGTGTTCTTGGTCCTCTTTTATTCACCTTTTTATTTTCAAGAAATACAGGGAGGAATTCTAATGTACTGTGGATGATCCTTTACTCTGACTTCCCTTCTTGGTGCACAGAAGTCAGGGTGTGACATGAACAACAATGTGATGTACAGAGACTGCAGTGGATTCTTGGATTTTATTCAGGACTAAATGACAACAAAATCTTTGAAAACCTGAGAAGAAGGTGGGGTAGTAAAAGGGATGTGTGGGAGAAGAGGAATATAAAAAAAGGATCAAAACAGATAAATTTCAGTTGGCAAGTGATAATGTACTCTTCAGTTTCCTAGCATTAAATTTGTAGCTTCCAATGTATTTTAGTGATGGATTCTGCATAGGAAACTTAATGTAAATTAGCTATTATAAATTTGCTTTCTAACAAGAAAAAGAAATTAAATATCATCTTATAAATTTTGCTAATGTGCTTGGTAGCGAAGCAGAATCAGCAGTAAGAAAAAAGAATACTGCTGACAATTTCAGTGAGGAAGAAAATCAATCAACTGAAATGTTCATCATTCCTTATTTACTGGGATAATTTGATCCTGACATTCTGTACTGTGATGGGCATGGCTTGCTTTGTTCAAGATGTTACCCATTTTGTGTCTTTAGGAGCTGTTCTCTTCCCCTGCCACCAACTCAATACACATCCTTTTAACACACATGCATGGGAAATGAGTGTTTCCAGAGCTCCTGATTGTCCCAGCACCTCTCTCCGTGCAGCTGACACGAAGACAAATGAATCTGCTTGCAGGGACACATTGTCTGAAGCATTGCTTTGGTTCATTAAAGCAGAGCCTGAGCAGTGCTCAATAAATGCTCTTTATCACTGAAAATTAGCAGTGGTGTGAGCAGGTCTGCTGAACTTTGCAGCTACACTCGGGGTTAAGAATGACAGGGTCTGAGTGTTGGGAATTGGAAGAAATAAAAACCTGAAATCAGAACAGCCTGGAGACTGGAGCATTCATTCCTGCATCTCTCTTAGGGTGGGACTGTGCATTAGCAGATGGCAGCCTAAAAACAATATGTGCTGAGAGAGCTCGAGATGTATGGCAAGATTTTCAACACCTACACAAGCGTTCTGAAGAGTATTGTCTGTCAGGGGTGGCTCAGGAATTCACCAGGTGCTTTTGTGTGGATTTCTGCAGCTATTATCTACAGACAATCAGCCAGGAGATGTTGGAGGCACATTCGAAGCAAATTTTTACAAAATGGAATAGGATAACTAGTCACAATATTAATCCCTGAGCTTTGATGTGAGCCTTGTAAAACACACACAAAGCAGCCCAGGCCCCTCTTTATTGGTAGATGGTGGAGATGGGTTGGGTTGTGAGAGGCAGCAGAAAATTGTGACTGAAGAGCAAATCATGATCTTGCCATCTGCCTGGAAGGAACTATTATATAGGGTTTGCTGTCAATCAGCCAACCTGTTTTGAAGCAAAGGCAGAAGAGTATATGATTTTTTTTTTTCCTGCTCATTTCATGCACTAATTCCCTACTCAAATTCACCATTTCCAGCACCAGCACAGCACTCTGGGCTCTGGCTGCAGATCCCTGCCTGGCCTAGCAAACAGGGAGAAGAGGTGTGGAAGAGAGTGCTCAGAGTGGTTCTCTTAAATAATGACAGAGCCCATTGGTGTGACAATGAATTAAATCTTAATTATTTAAGCAATGGCATCAGGGAATATTGGCTGCTGTAAGCCACATATTCATGATAATTCTCTTTTTTCATAAACATAACTGAAGGCAAAAATTGTTGCTGTCTGCTTGCTTTATCTTTTCAACGCTTTTCCTACGAACCCTAGGCTACAGTATTGCACAGCAGCGTATTTCATCCATAACTACATTTCCTCATGTAGCACCTCTAGTCTGAGGATGTCCAAGCATGCTAAAATAGGTGTGTGGAAGCCACACTGTGCCCCTGCACAATCCAGGGCATTTCAGAAGTAATAAACTGAAGAATAATTTAATATCATAGAGTGATTCCATTATAAGAGTCCACACTGCAGGGGACCAGTAGCACAGAAACCTCTCAATTTGATAATGGTTTTTTTTTTTTCCCATCGCTGTCTGTATTTATGATGAAGTGGAAGCAAATACATGGGTTTGCAAATCAGCTGTTTGGTCAGTCCCCTGGTGTAATGTAAGAGCTGAGATTTGCTCTGCAGCTGAGGCCAAGGCAGAGCTAGAAGACTTTAAAGTGCTATTTTCAGGGTAGCACCTGGACTTAAAGAGAGAAGTGCAACACTGCAGAGCTGATCTGGCCTCTTGCATTTTCCTTTGGCACCAGCCAAAATTTCCTTTCCAAAAGAAGCACTGGGCTATGCCAGGATGTGCATTTGATGTGCAGTGGAGCACCCGGGCAGACCTGGGTGTCTGGAAACATTTCACAGCCAGGAGAGGCCCTGAGCTCCCAGCAGAGCTCCTGGCACAGAACCACCCTGGCACCTTTCCCACATCAGCCTGGGTGTGCCTGAGCATGGGGATTTACTCTAACTGAAATAACACTTTGCCCTGGTGCTGTTCTGAGCCTTCAAATCAGCTCCTCCCTGTGCTCAGATGGTTTGAGTTTATAAAAGCTCCCAGAAGGGGGAAGACAAAGAGAGGAAGAGGAGGGTGATGTGTTTTGTTGCCTCTGAAGCTGGGGAATCAGCCAAGAGGCCTTAGAGAAAACAAACAGAAACAAATAAAAAAAAACAGTCTAAGGTAGAGGAAAACAGAAATGGGAACTAAACCTGCCTCTGACTTCAGACCTGTGTTTTGGTTTGGTTTTTTTAAGGTCAGTCTTTGGGAAATAGAATTTTGTGGTTTGTGTTTGTGTTTTGTGGTTGCTTTCCTGGTTGTGTTCATGGTTTGGGCTTTGACTTTCATAGTTTGTTTGGGAAATTTTTGCTTCTGACAGTGTTGGGGACTGGAAAAATGTTTATGTCTTTTTGAGCTTTATTCTGGGTAAAAACTTTTTGTGTGGATTTGGCTGCTTTTCTGATAATTATCGCTATGCCAGGAGAAGGTGGAAAGCTGGCTGGGCTGGGGGAGTCTGACACAGAGAGAGAGAGAGGGGCTACCAAGCTGGAGCTGACTTGCTGCAATGTTTTAGGGGGAAATTTGTTTCCTAGATAGTCTTGTTTCTATGCTGATGTCTGAAATATGTCAAATTTGACAGAGGAGGTTTCTTTTAACTTCTCTTGAAGCCTCCTTTTTTATTACTTCAGGATAATGACAGAATCACAGAATGGCTGGGGTTAGAAAGGGCCTCTGAAGATCATCTAGTTCAACCCTGCTTCTAAAGCTGCTGAAATAATAATGGAGACCTATTTTTTAATTAAATTTAACTGCAATTTAGGAACAGCAAGTGTAGAAGGAGTGAATATAACCCAGTGACCATATCTGAGCTCAGCATAGGGAATTTGCATCCCAAAGTTTCTGAATGCCTTTGCTTTTCTTGGATTTATTCAAGTGTCCCCTCTGGCTGTAGATACACTAATTTTCAGTTCATGCAGCCTCTGACCCGTGATTTGTCCACAGTAGGTGGATCTTGTCTCTCATGTGGTTTTATCTGGTCTGGAAAAGCAGCTGCAACCTGACAAAAGTAATAGTTTGTTTTCAAACTGGGAATATTCCAATAGCATTTTTCGTAATGGGTTCAACCTGGCTCTTCTGAGAATCAGCTGAAGGCACTGAGTTTGTGCTGGGGCCAGTTTGGGAATCCATGAAAAGATTCTGGATTTTCAGATCAGGATGATCTCTCCAGAGATAAATGATCACAAGAAGCCATGAACTCCTATCAGTTCATGGGTTGTTTTAGCTTGGATTTCTTTACTTTTTGGAACTGAAAATAAATGGACAACTCATCCCCGTCACACGATGGTTATGTTTGTCTGCCATGATATCCTGACTTGTGTTTTGCTGGTTATATTTTAAATGTATTGAGTGCTATTGAATTTTTTTTGCATGGTGATAATGTACTGCACAGACAATTCATTTTGTTAATCCTTAGTGAGTGATGATCTTGTCAGCTAATGGAGAGCTCTAGATAAGGGTTGAGACTTTTTGTGTGCGTTGTCCTACATACTTTAAAAATAACTAGGACACAAACTTTTGTGATATAAACTTCCCTGACAAATATAGATGTGTTCTTTTTTCTTTCTCTCCCCTCTTAGGCTTTGGGAAACTGTAAAAAGCAGAATCACTGCTTCCCAAACACAGTAATTGTGAAGACCAGACATCCCTTTGACAAGGAGTAGCTGCAAGTTTAAGGTAGGCTGGAAGGAACAGTTGTGAAAATCCTTCATTTTGTGTTCTGTTCTCACTTCTCCCTGCTTTTGTCAACATTCAGACTTGTTGTTAATTCATTGTTGTTTTCCAGTACAAGCTACTTATTGTGCTGCTGTGGTTGTTGTGGAGTTTTATTTGGCTGGGGATTTTTTTGGTTGGTTTTTTTTTTCCTGTGGTTATGTCATCTTCCTGGTTGGATCTTCTCTGTGTACTTGGGGATGTTGACAAAACTGCTGTTTCTGCCAAGCAAGTTTGGTGTGGCTGAGGCACAGGGAGAGAGGCAGAGCAGTGATGTGCCTTGAGATAAGAGGGTGGAAAGGAGCCACCAGCTCTGGGTGCCAAGAGCAGCAGGTGGAGCATCTCCTCTGAGTGTGCTGTGCTGCTGCTTGGCTCATCCTCCACATCCATATGTCTGCACCTGTGCTGGAAACAGAGCAAATCTCCCAACATCCTGTGCTTGAAGTGGGACAAAAACTGTCTGCACCAGCCCCTGGCTCCCATGGGAGGTGGCTTCCCTGCACATGTTGTTCAGATCTGCTTTTTCAGGCTCTTGGTGTGCGTGGTCTTTGTGCTGGTCAGTGGAGGCTGTGGTCACAGCCAGACAAATCTTTGCTGTTTATTCCCTTAATGAAAACTGCTGGACCTTTCTAGCTAAGCTTTTCTTGTTTGCCTCCAGGAAAAACACTGCATCTTCTCTTGTCATGGGAAAAAGCTATAGGAGAAGAAAACCTGACAATAGACAGAAGGATTTCATGCTGTTATTGAAGACAGAGGAAAAGCAAGAAAGGAAATAGATTCAGTTTGGTCATTGAGGTTGGATCAGATCTCCTGCAAGAGAGGGATAAAAGTGGTGAGGACTGAGAAAAGCAAGTCTCAGGAAAAGGAAGGTTTTGCTGGGAATATATCAGAAGTTCTAGACGTGAAGTTGAGCAGCTGGCTGAGCAGAGGGGATGTGCACACACAGCATCAAACATTGCTGCACTCATGCTTTGAAGGTGGGTTCTGAGTGTTTGTCTGGGCCAAGCTGTGCCCAGGGATCTGGTAAACTTGTGCTCTCTCTGTACCAAAGTAATCCTCTTTGTGTTTCCTCTTCCACCAGGGGAAAGGAAAACAACCAAGAGCAAGAAACACAGGGAGGCTCATGGCTCTGGATGAGGATTTCTTGGCTGGTTTTACTCTGGGCTTCATAGCATTCCTGTGCAGGCAATCACATGTAGGCAGCTCAATCTTCACATGCTCAGCTGCTGGTTGTCCTTCTGGGATGGTTCCCAACGGAGGAAAAACTCTGTGGGGAGGTGAGGGGGCCAAGGAAAACTGCTCTGCCAGATTTTTGAAAAATCTTCCACAAACGTTGTGAACCTAGGATGAGTGTCAGAAATCTGGCTTTTGGTGGAATTGAGGTAAAACTTGCTGTGAGACTACACTTGGCTCACCTGGGTAGGAGCATTTAGGTAGGGAGGAGCTGCAGTGTGCAGTGCCTGTTGCCCAGGCAGCAGCCAAGGCAGAGCCTGGGGTATGGGAAGGAGCTTTGTAGGGTGGGTGGAAGCAGCTGGGAAGGGTGGAGAAAGCAATCTGTGAAAAGTGAAGCTTCATTGTCCCAGGAACACTAGAACTGGGGAGCTTTGCATTTCCAAGGTGGTGAACCTTCCCCAGCCCCTGTGAAATATGAGCCTGGGATGTGTCCTGTAACACCTCTTCATGGGGAAAAGGCAAGTGTGGGGGGCGAGAGAGGCAGAGGAGGCAGAAAGCAGAGGCCAGAGGCCCCTGTTTGGGTGCAAGCACCAATCTGCCGTCTGTGTGAGCCTGCCTGAGTTGCATATGCTCTCCTTTTCTGTGTGCCCAGAAAATTGTGATAAATAGAGGTCCAGGCAGGGAAGAGCATTTATTTTTATTTGCCTATTTTTGTCACTCACTTGGCATCTCTAGATGAATGGTGGAAGCAGGAGGGAAAGGCTGTTCTCCTTGTGCATGCAGCCCTGGGTGGGGGGCAGATTCTCAAAGACAGCTGGATTCCTGCTGACCCCTCACAACCTACTGTCACCTTGGAAATATCATCCAGTGTAATGGTCTGCTCGTGGCAGCTGTGCCAGCAACCCTGTGGAGTTCTTCAGTCAGAGCTGTGGATAGGCAGCTTCCATGCTCTCTGACAGGGATAGCTCAGGTGCTGGTCTCTGTCCTCTCCTCTGGTATCAGAGTGGGGGTGGATGGACCTCCTCCTGACACTTCACCTCCTCACACACATGTAGCCCAAAGGGTGTTCTGCCCCTCTGCAGGGCATGGCTTCATCATGCCCCAGCACTGCCAGGAGCTGCCATTCCACAGGACACCACTTTTTGTGCCATCTCCCTTTTGCCTAGAGACAAATTACTTTCAGCTTTCCCTTTTCATGAGAAATTATTTTGAAATGTGCAGACTGCTCACTTGTGTCCTTTTTTCCTTCCTATTTTCTCTTTCCAGTGTGTCAGTAGCCCAGCATTCAACATGGGCCCAGGGGTGCTTGTAAAGCATCATTCCCTCCCTGGCAAAGCCAAGTGAGGAGGCTGAAGTAAAGCCCCAAACCATCAGGTGAATATGACACTGTGCTTAGCAAAGAGGGCAAGAGGAAAATGCTTGATGTCTTGTTGGTCCACTGAAAGTTAAAATTGGCAGCAAAGACATCAAAGCAGGTGTGAGGATGCTACTGCAAGATTTGCCAAGGTCTCCTGTGTTCCTGTCTGATGCTGGGAGCCAGGGCAGGGAGAGGCTGCAAGCACAGCCTGTTTAATATTCTCTCTGTCCCTCTGATCTCCCCCCTACCCTGCAGAAGCAACATGTCCCCTGTTTCTGCAGAGCTTGTCCTGAGCAATAGCAGCATCTGTCAGGGGTTATGGTGGCATTAGCCTCATGGAGCTGGGAGTTAGCAGTGCTTGGCAGAGTGACAGTTCTGCTGTACCTTACATAAATCTGTATCTTGCATAAATCTGTCTCTGCCTACTCTGCCAAGGTGTGTGGTCACAATTTGTCTCATTCTTCCTGCTGTCCACAAGGGCTTTGAGTTTCTTAGAAGATTATATTTGCTTGAAACTCTTCTCCTTCATCTTTCTTCACATCCCTCCCTCCACACCCTTTCACTTGTATCCTTCCCACAAAGTCCAAAAAGGGACATATCTTAAACAGGTGCTTATTTTCAAATTCCCATCACCTGCCTCTCACAGGAGCTGCAGAAATCTCCCTGTATTCCTATGGAATTGAATTCCTTGAACCTCCCTGTGGCTTTGGCAGCAAACCCCAGAAGCCTCCTCCTGCTAACTCAAGCTCTGGGCTGTGCCTGATCCTGGGTAGCTACGAGGTTCCTACCTTGTTCCTCAGTATTTCATGGTATTTTGTTGCCTCTCATCTGCTTTTCTTGAGCCTTCTGGGGCTAGAAAGTAATAACAACCTCAGTTCTTTGCTGTCTTTAGGTGTCTAAGGAAATTCCTCAGGAAAACAAGAAAACCCTTATTAAATGGTTTATATTATATCCCCACCCATAATTCTTCCAAGTGTTTTCAAACAAAGCACCTGAAAAGAGAATGTTGACCTCTTGAGAGAGTCTCTGGTCACATCAGGCTTGGCCTGAGCCACTCTCTTGTCCCCAGCTCTGCTCAGGGACCTGATGGGAGCTCTCTGCTGTGTGACCTGTGGGGAGGGTCCATGGCCAGTGATCTCCTGTGTCACTTTGCCACATCCACCTGCCACCAGTTGCTTCACTGTGTCAGGGCTGTAACAAAGACCTTCTCTGAGCATTGTGCCAGAGGCCAGCACAACATTCCTGTTGGTCTGCAGGGCCAGGTACTTGCTATGAATTGTCAAAAAAAAAATACAGCAGTTCCAAAGGAGCATGTGATCTGTCAGGTAAACTCATTGCAGCTCTCAGTGAGTCTCCACTGAGATAGATGTCCTCAGGTGCTCAGATGGAGGTACTTGAGTGTAAGGCTACTTAGTGCTGCTGTTATTTATGATTGTTTGGTGTCTTGTGCTGGTGAGCAGTGAAGGTGGCACACTCTTCTACCACAGGTTATCCAGGGGGGAAAAAAATAATCCCACTTTGCATTCTAGCATCCTGTTATATACATCCTGAGCTCTTAAAATGGAAGTTTGTTTTGTCTCCAAGCCCTTTTTCTTTTGTACGCAGACATAAGAGCTGTAATACCAAGTGAATGGTACGTACTAAGTCTATACAATGGCTCTTTAAAAAAAATAATTGCATATGGTACAAGAGGGAGAGGAAACCACTCCATTCCTGTAAATGGCCACTTAAGACGTGGAGAATAAATAACTGCAATAAATAATCTGGCATAGCCGAGCTTTAGCGTTTGGGAGTAAATCAGAGCTCTTTCCCCATTGTCTGCAGAGATGCCTCGGAAATGGGGTTGGAAGGCAGGATTGCTCTGCGAGTTGTGGCAAGGTGTCGGGAAGCCCCTGGGAGCGTGTGGGAGCCTCCTGCTCTCCCGTGAGCCTCGTTCCCCTTTCCCTGCAGCACCTTCCCCGTCCCCAGCCATGTGCTGCTCCCCGTGCGAGCCAGGGGAGCCGAGCCTCCCGTCCCGCTCTCCCCCGCTGAATAAGAGGCAGAAGAAGGCGGGGGGATCCGTGCTCTGTTGGCGGAATTAGCGCATCCCCAGCTCTCTCCTCGGCTGCCCAGCCCCTCGCCTCCCCCGGCGCTGCCTCCTGCCCATCCCCACCTGCCTCCCGCAGCCCGAGCGGCCGCTCCCCTGCGCCCTGCAGCCTCTGCTGCCGCTATTTAAATGCGGCTCCAGCCGCTGCCTGGGGCTGCTGGGCGAGGGCTGTGTGGCTTTAAGGCAGCAGCGATGCTCTCCCGAGCAGGGATGTGCTGAAATCGGCTCCGGTGCCTCCCTGGCCGGCCGTGCGGAGCCGGGGCTGCGCTGCTCCTCCGCTGTCCTGCGAGCTGCAAACCAGCGCAACACCACTTCAAAGGGCTCGCCAAGCACAAGGGGATGCTAGGAAATGATTTAAAGGTGAAAATGAGAAGGTTTCCACCCCTCAAACCTTGGCCACTTTTCTGACGGCAGTCTCAGAGCTCAGATGTCTTCTTTACTCTGGAAACAGGATTTGTAACGAAAAAGAGATTTTTTTTTTAATTTTTTTTTTTCTACTTTTAATCCTGATAAAGAAGATTATTGGGAAGCTGTAAAAGAAATCCCTTATTGTGGTACAGATGGATTTAAAAAAGTATTAGATCTTTCCGATGAACACTACTAGAGTGCTCTGCTCTTGGTTGGATTACTCAGGTAAGGAGCATCCTCAGGATTTAAGATTCAGAAAGCAGATCTGGAACTCACCAGATAATAAGTGGAAAATATTCACTGCTGTGTTTCTATACTAATGATAAGATGATCTCTGGGTAAAACTGTGTGTGTGACAGTTTGCTGACGAACGAGTGCATGAAGAAATGTGTGTAAGAATTACCGGGTTTGAGCAAAGGTAGTTTGAAATAGCGCAGTTTGAGAGAGGTTTTTGTGTTTTTAAAAACCCACAAAAAGCTGATAATAAAGCCTGAGTGGGTAAAAGTAAGTCTGCTGTCCATGTGCAAGAACACGATGCCTGAGGAAAGACACAGGAGCATATTTAGCAGGTTGTGGAAGTTTTGCTCTTTGACTGGGATTTTTAAAGTTCAGTTTAAATAACCTGAATACCTGAAATTCCTCTGAGTGAGACTCACCTTTCCCTTTGCCTTGTGGTATAAAAAGCACAGGAGCACCAATTATGACAAGAAGGTGTTAATTCCTGAAGACACGGGAAGCCTCCCGGGAGCTCCCTGATCTGAGGAGGTTGAATCTATTTTGCAAGATAAATGGGTCTAAAAAGAGAGGAGAAAAAGTGCATAGTCTACTGCAAAGCAAACAGTTGGAAATGAAATTAATTGTACACCAAGCAGTGCATCAAGCACTCGGTACAGAGAAAGGAAGAGCCTCATGCTGATCAAAATAATGTTTTGGTATTCTCTATTAATTATACTTGTCAGTTTATGTGGTTCATTTCAACTAATTAGACTTAAAAAGCTTTCCAAAGACTCTGCTGCTTTCAAATCAGGGCAAAAAAAGGATTTATATGCATATATTTCATTACCACAGCATTTCGCTATTTAAATATTGTTCGTCTTCTACTGTAGAAATCCCCTGATATTTCATGCAGATTTATTTTTTTTTGTAAAGACATGATTTTTTTCCATGTGAGAGATTTAATCTTTCAAAGTCTTTCTTGCTCTGTGAAAATGATGTTCAGCTGATTGGATTATTAGATAGAGAGCAGCATCCCGTCATTGGCTGAGTGAGGAGAGTGCCTGAAGTTTGATTAATTTGGCCATCTGAAATGCAGCAGAAGGTGCTGTTAAGGGAACTGGACGATGTGTAGCGTAGCTGAGCCTTGCAAAGCTCCTGATCCTTGCAGGCAACTGAGGAAAAGCTGCTGAAGTTACCAAGTCAGAGGGAAATTCAGG